GCTCAGTTGGCATTGCCTTTGTTTGGCTTCACTCATCTATTGATGGTAGGTCAAAGCATCGATTACCAATCTTCCTCCAAAATTACACTTATATTTACCATACACGGACCTTGAATACATGCAAAAGGCAGACAGCACGAACATGAATTTTCAACTCAAAGAGGGCAGATGCAAGTAGCTTTAAAACTTAATTATTCCAGTAGATGGAAACAAATTCCCATGTACCACCCATTGAGACCTGGAAGCCCCAAATCTAAATCCCAACCAGCACGAGTTATGCTAATCTCTGCCAGGTTAATATCTGACCTCAACATCCCTGGGAGGGGATTCATATAAAGGACTGACCACAGAAAAATTACTGGAGGTCAATTAACCTTTCAGAATAGTATCCCAGCACAGATCAGAACCTTCAGGACTAGAGCGAGCTAAACTGGAACATAAGACAGTTTGCCAAATGTCAATTCACTGTCACTTATCTAAAACTAATATCAGCAGGAAAAAAGGTTTCTTTCTTTATTAGCACTCAATTTTACCCTGAGATGATCCTGCTAATGGAATTGATGAGTTTCAAATACAATGTGTTTGTGATGACAAAGATTTGACAAAAAAAAATCAAACAGCTACCGGCTATTTTTGAACTTGGATCAAAATCCAACGGTGCAAGAAAGCACGAGGGAAAAAAATATAAAAAAGCCAACTGACCTTTTTTTTGTTGCGCTGCACAATGCCGATAGGTCAGAATAAGCACACAATTCACACCATTCATTTATCAACCTGTCACTTCTTGCAGGAAAGATCCTTTTTCACTAGAAGATTCCATTCCTCCCATTCCCTAGGTTTTACTGCACGATACTGTACAACATTCAAGTGCCAGCTAAAGCTGCTCTGACACTAGTCACGAGAAAGTATACGGGAACAATCCAGTGTCAGTCCGCCAACTCATCACTTTGCTTCCCCAGATCAGTACAGCTAACACTGTGTACATGTGAGCTCCTAACTCTCTACTGATTTGAGGCAATGAAGCTCTAGTCTGCTGCTCTATGCGGTAGATGCATAGAAATCTGTTGACCCAGTATTTATATTAAATAAAAACATTTAAAAAGGAAGTATACCCGTGGGGAAGACTAATGGTCATTACATGGAACACTGGTACATGTAAACACCATTACCTGCAAGTTCCCCTCCAAACCAATCACCATTCACTGTATCACCACTGGGTCAAAATCCTTTAAAGTCCTTCCCTCACAGAATTATTGGTCTACCTATAGCACATAGACTGCAGCAATTCAACAAGGCAGTTCACCAGCACCATCTCAAGAGCAACAGAGGACAGGCAATAAATGCTGCCCATGCAGTGACACCTAGGTTCCATGAAAGATTTTTTTTTTAAGAAGTGACCTAAAAAGAGGTCAGAGGCTGGAAATTCTGTAGCAATTAGCTCACCAAACAGCCTAAAGTTGACTCTAACATGACAAAAGCACACATCATGCATGATGGAATGTTCCCTACTCATCTGGATTAGTGCAGCCCCCAAGAGGTTTGATATCATTCAAGATAAAGCAGCCTTCCTCGATCAACACCCCAAACACCAACTCCCCCCACTATCAGCACACTGTGGCAGTTATAGTAAAATCTACAGCATGCACTGTAACTACTTGTCAATGTTCCATTCCACAGGGCCTTTCAAAACCAAAACCTCTACCATCTAGAAGGTCTAAGGCAGCAGATGCATAGAAACACCATCATTTGCACATTTCCCTCCAAGCCACACACCATCCTGATTTGGAATTATAATTGCTGTCATTCCTTCACTGTCAGAGTTAAAATCCTGGAACTCCCTTCCTAACAGTACCGTGCATCCACCCACACCTCATGCTCTGCAGCAGTTTAAGAAGGCACTTACTACCATCTTTTCAAGGGCAATTAGGGACGACCAATAAATGCTGGCCTTGCCAATGTTCACACCCTTAAAACTAAAAAAAACATACTACCTGCATTAGTAAACCATGGGATTATTGACTTGTTGCTTTCATTGAATCAGAGCTATCGGATGAAAGGGACTAACTAGGGCCTCATCTGAAATATAAGGCTACAAACAATTCTGAAAAAGTAAAAATTAAATCGCAGGAAAGAATAGGACAAAAAGCTGACCAAACGTGTTCATTTAATTCAATTTCTCCTTATGCATCTTTGCTCTCATTGAGGTTGGTGACAACAATCAGAGGGAGTAGTGGTTTCTGAGGGCTTCCTTCACAATGCTATTTCAATCAGTTTGGATTTACCATTACTCTTCTGAGGGTTATTCCTAAACACGTTTAAACATTAATCAAGATATCCAGTGCAATACTTATTAAGTAACTTCGTTATAAACTCACTATAATTACATCAGTCCACCAACGTCAAAAAATTCTTGCAAAGAAATTAAATAAAACGATTGCATAAAATTCAACTTCTGGTAGATGGATACGGAGGGGGGCGGTGGAGAATCAAGGCAGTGCTCTCAGGCAAGATTCAGAATCCCATTCTTACCTTATTGAGCTTCAAACTATACTGACTTACACTAGGACGTGAACCCCTGGGCTACCACTCCTTGCTACCACTCGCTCATAGATCAAATTAACTCAGGTATGTGGCATAGTCTGAACCAGCGAAAACAATCAGACCGTTCAATCTGTTCGGAAAACGGATCGCGTCCCAACTAGGACGTTATTTATTTCCCCATGAACAAGATGCGGGTCAGTCTTCTTCATTCATTACCATTCTGTGCGACATTGCAATAACACTGGCGGTCCACTGAGAAATCCTACGTGCAGTCCATGCAAAGATAGCAAGAGCAACTGAATCTACATTTGCGAACCGGGTGCATGAAAGATTAGCACCATCGGCCAATGCACTCGCTCGCACACGTAGCCTGCTGCCTCCTTCCTTCCTCTCTTCCCCACCCCCGCTTCCTTGGCAGTTTAGGCACAGGATGCCGAACGCCTTTTCCCACCAGCCTGTCAGTGCACTGACCTGATCTCTTCTCCCACCACCCCGCTCCTTTCTCTCTCTCTCTCTCTCTCACACACACACATACACATACACACACACACTCAGTAAGTCTCCAACCCGCGCCTGTCCAGCATTGGCTCTAGCTGTTTGCAGGAACTGCGATACAAAGAGCTTTGGAGCTGCTACCACTGCAATATCTAGTGGACAGGGGTGCTGATGGCTGCCCAATGCTTTGTCAGTGTCGGCTCAGTTTGCAATGCACCGTTGAAGCGGATGGCCCGCATCCAGTTCATGTGCCTAATAACGTTGCATTAATACTCTATTTCTGCATGGATTCGCGGTATGTGGATTCAGAGCCTGCAATGACACCTCCAACTCAGCGTCGCGGGGGGCGGGGGCAACTCTCAATGCCAGCGAGGTCCCAGCTGGACACAACGTACTGAAATCACAGAACGGAAACCACCTCATGTTGATGCTTAAATTGGAGCGCGAATGTCAGGCAGATGAGGCTGCTCCTCCTAGTTTAAAAGACTGGCTCAGGATTTGAGCTATGATCACAAAGAAGCTCTAGAGAAATAAATCCAAGTCATACAATCAGACAGCAATAGCGTGAACAACGGAGAAAAGATGGACAGGATTGCCCGGTGATGTGGAGAATAGTCGTCATTTGGGAGATGCCTGGACTGCTGCCTCAATGAGGATACTCCTGATGCACAGGGATATCCTGGCCAGACTTTAGAAGATAGCTTAGGGAATTTATACAATCGGATGCTGAGTGTGTGTGTGTGTGTTGGGGGGTGTCGGATTGGGGGGCAGATGGGAAGGACAGAAATAATTCGCATTTCTATAGTACCTTGAAACATTCCAAGTGATTTACAAAAGCACTCAAACAAAAAATTTTGACGCCAATGTAGAGAAGGAAATACTAGAACAGTGAAGTGCGTTTTAAGTGTTGTCCTAAAGTAGGACAACTAGAGAGGTAAGAGTAAGGTGATGCAACTAAACGCACACTTGACAACTGTCAAGTGAACAAATCAGAGATGGGCTAAAGGCCAGATCTGGACACTCAGGAAGCTGAATGCAAGACGTCTCTTTAGGATGTAGCAGGGTCTGTAGGAATTGCCCAACTGGATTACAGGAAACCGGGTGAAGAGAAGGTTGGCGGGGGGGGGGGGGGGGGCGGTGATTTATTTTTTATTTGATTTATTGTCGCGTGCCTAGCTACAGTGAAAAGTTTTGTTTTGCCTGCAATATAGGCAGATCATATCATACAAAGTGCATTACGGTAATAGAACAGAGCGAGGAATACAATGTTACAGCTGCAGAGAAGGTGCACAAAGAGTGAGATCAACATTTAAACTGAAAATTTGAGAAGTCAATTCCGAAATCTAATAACAGGAAGAAACTGTTCTTGAATCTGTTGGTACATATATTTAAGCTTTTGTATCTTCTGCCTGATGGATGGAGGAAGAGGAGTGGTTGTGGATATGAGGGTAAATGTGGACTGGGGAAGTAGGAGGAAGGGAGGGGGGGGGGGG